ATAAGATGTTGCCCACGATGTAGATAACCTAAAGTTTATGTTTTGTAAGGACCGTGGCATATAGTTTTCAGTGTTGCCCCAATTACTTATTCGAGAGGGGGTAACATTTATTTTACCCCCAATGATTTTTTGACATCATGCAGCATACATTTTATACATACATTTATCTAGTTAAGTCTCAACACAAATTAATGTGACTTTCTGGTAAGGTTTTCTTTTAACTTTTCTTTGGTAGACAGTCGAAAATTTTTTAATTTTCTTAATTTTAAATGAATTTTGTTTAAGTTTCAACTTTAAACCCATATTGAAAATAATATATTGTGGATCTGTGTTCAACTTGACCGAGAGAGAAAATTATTTATCGATGATAATTAAAAATAAAAATGTTTAATGCTCAAAAAGAGTCTATATATTTTGAATATCTTGTAGGAAATATCTTTCAGGAAAATTCTTATATATTATATAAAAATTTTGTTAAAATATAAAGTTTTTACGGTTAGTCATTTTTGAGTTACAACAGAAAAACACAATCGATTTTGTCGATAACAAAAAACGAAAATAACAAATATAAAAATAATTTTTATACAAAACCAGTTATCGAAATACTTAAAAATTACTTTTATATTTGTTAATTTTTTTTTGTTTTTCACGACGCTTTTGAAAATTACTAGGAACTTTTTTACTTTTGATTTTTGACTCAACAAAGTATCAACTTGATTCACTTCCCTATCAGACAAGATGCTGAAGTAGAAATTTGAAAATAGAATTTATGTTTTAATGGTAAAACTATTAATTAAATTATTAGTTATTGGCTATTTCTAATGTTATCACACAGTACACACTGCACGCTGCGATACACTAGGAAGTCATCTTTCTTATATTTGTACAATATCTTTTTACACTTAGGATTACGATTATCCACCAATTTTGGTTGTACACCCACCCCTTAAAATAGGTGTGGCGGCTGCCACATCTAATACATGGGTTCGGCGCCACTGCATATTATACATAATACAAACACATTTTTATGTGTTTGGTGAGAGGGGTGCGTCACTTTTGCACCCACCCACCGGCCTTGTATCCGGGCAATTTATTTTAAAAGCATTTACATCATGGGATAGGTTAGGTTGTGTTTAGGTGTTAGGTGCTTTATCAGCACATTTTATATACCCGCGAACAAAGTCCGTGCCTATTCCAAACACTCAATATAATGAATACTTATTGCGACCAAATGATTAATAATTAACTTCAAACATAGGTACTATCTATACTACTATACCTACCAATAATGTATCTACATAATATATCATATTTATAATTTTACAGGTCCGAATCCCTAAAGAGTACTCGAGGAGAATTGAGGAAGTGTTGAAAAAAAATATAATATTAATTGAACTATGCAAATAAGGAGCTCAAAAATATGAATAAATATTTAGAAAATGATTTAAGAACAATGGACGAGGATAAATTAAAATCAGAAACTTTATGTAAAGTAAGTTAAATTGAATTATAATACAGACAAATGTGTTGATTCCGAGCACAAGCATTGCCATGAAATTGCTAAGGAATTGCTTTATAATATGTTTGTTATCATTGTTATCTATAAACAGTTAATAATAAATGTGTATGGTTCTTTTTAATTTTAGACAAATACTGTACAACTAAACCATTATAGAAGAAAAATCCTAGAATTGAAGAAGCAAATTAAAGAATTAACATCGGGGAACAAAAAACTAACAATAGAAATAACCAATCATACCTACATCAAATCGTAAAGAAGTTGACGAACAACTAAAATATTCTATAAGTGAAATTTTTACTTTGACGGTAATGTTACAGAACACACGATAATTTAATATCAATGATAAGAAAAAATAAAAAAAAAATGCCGGGTGAGATGATAATATTTTATTGCACAAACCTATTATTATTTATTGGTATACTAATATATTGAAATATAAATAATTAAGTATACTTATAATTGTGTGTACTGGTTAAAAGGAGGAAAATTGTAAGTATGTTAAAGATGCCGAAAAAAAATTTAATAATATTGAACAAAAATGTCGAAAAACATTAATTGAACATGAAGTCTTAGAGAAGGAAAACATGCGCCTAAGAGGACAGATTGTGCGTTCTTTTATTGAAAAATTGAAATATTAAGTATCGTGTTAAGTGTTAAGATATTAAAAGCTGGATGATAATTTTTTTTATAGGTGACTAACACAAAGTTTATCGATGAAATTGAAGAACTGAAAAGAAATTATCACCATAAAGTGAAAGAATTAAAAAGAGTACAGTCTTTGGTGTGAAAACAGGAGTCAGAAATAACAAGCCAACGAAATAATATTGTAACTAAAAAAGATTTTAAAAATAAATTTCAAATAACATACTAACAATTTGTATTTTAGGCAGAAATCGAAAAACAAAAAGTTAGGTATATTTATACCGGGCAAGACATTACTGAATATAAAAAAGAAATACAACTATGGAAGGATCAATTTACGGATTTAAAGTTTCATTTCGATAATCTCGATTGTCCTTTCGTAAGCTGCATTATTGTTTTTAATTTAATTTGCTACATTAGAAACCAATCTCAAAGTTATTGTTGAAAGGCCAAAAAATAAAATGTATAAAAAACACATAATGTAAAATCAATACATTCATAATATATTTTTAAAACACTAATATTTTGGCCATAATATTTTTTTGATGTTGATTTTTATGCCATCATTGTTTTTTGTACATCTTTTCAAATTATTACTAAAATACATTTACCTTTTTAGTTTTCTTTATAGTTTTCTTTCTAGTTATATTGCTTGTAGAATGGCAAAATTGTTTGGAAATTAAAAAATAATAGTTTTTTTTATTTTTATTTGTGATGTTAAAGTATAACATAGGCCGTAGCAACATTTCTATTAAAAAGGTAAAGTAATTTCATTACAATTTTATTTGAGTAACGAGTAAAGTAAACTTTATTTATCTCTAAGTAATGAGTAAAGTTACTTGGTTACTTTTTAAAAGTAATTTACCCAACACTGAAGTTATATAATATTATAATATAATATATTTATGTTTACTAATACAAATATTATTTTACTTCACAGTATCAGTCAAAACTCGGTAAAACAAACGTATCCAATGAAACGATATGCGGTAAGTTTTACATTAAACCCTAAATACTAACTATTATATTTAAATCATCATGATCGAGATCTGTTTAATTTTCCGATTTACGGCGTTTTTTCTATGGACGCCAGTGTACATACTACATATATAATACATGTAGTTTAGGGCTCAGAAGTTATAGGAGCTAAAAAAGAAATATATGCTAAAAAAGAAGGGTAAGAAAGAAAAACTATTAATTTCATAGGAAATATTAAGTATGCATAATATGCGTCGGTATGAAAATCAAGAAATATGACCTTTTCTCCTAAAATTTACGAAATATTCAAAATTTGCATTTGATTTTTTTTGTATTTAAATTTTAAACTCATCATTGTATAGTTTGGATTTCTAGCTTGATCTGCTAAAAATCTAGAACATATAAATATATAGATTAATATGCAACTCCTACAACTTCGGAGCTCAAATTTATTAATATTGTAAGTAGGTAATTATTATATTTTATAGCATCTATGATCTATAAAACTTCTTTCAAACATTTTTTTTTCTGAAATTGTTTCACTTTGTAATATTCACATGGTTTAACAGGAGTGTCATTAGTAGGCGTCAAGGTGTACTTAGAAATTTGTTGCGTATTGTTGCCCTGCCATTATAGTGAACCATAACATTTACAAACAGGCTGTAGGCATTTATCTTTAAATAGCTTTTTCTCAAAACTAAACTTTTTCAATTGTGGCAGTATTGTTCTATAATCTATAGTGATGAGAACTCGACAGTGAATGACAATGAACACAAATATCGACTATATTTTGTTCAAATTTAGGCGTCTGAGCAAAAAATGAACAAAAGTATTATGGAAGCCGAGAGCAACGAAGACAAAATGGCAGAAGTGTACAACGCGATCACAGGAGACTTTTTGACGGAAAATCCCGAACTCGGGTTCAACAGTGCTTTAGGGCCCGGAAAAATATCAACGTCTCTCTACAAAGGATTAACGCCGGCCATGAAACAAGCGATATACGATCTTAAGGTATTTCACCTTCGTACAATTAAGAATAAATTCAAATTACTGATGAGTAATGATCAAAATAGTTTATTATTAATTGTATAATAATATTTACCTACCTAGCTGTCCCGCCCGGTGTAACCCGTGATAAAGATTTTATTTTTTTTTGTAAAAATATTTGTAAAAAATGTGTATTGGTATATGCTATTAGGTACAATTTGTGTAAATTCTCATTTCGCCTTGATCCCACAAAACCTCAACAAGTTAGGGGATTTTAAAAATGTATATTATGTACGTATTTATGGGTGTATCTATTATTATATATTTCATCCCCCCTTGTAGAATTCCTAAATAAGCCACTGCATAATATAGTTGCTTAATTACTATGTAGTGTGTACTACTAGTACTAGTAACTAGTATATAATTGTTTTGAAAATTTTGATGAACATAATTCAAAATTCAAATGGGTAGTTTCTTAGTTATTAAAATGTTTGTACTAAGGATAATAGTTATTAAAAATAGTTTTACAGAAGTATAAAAAAAACGTATTGGGAGTAGGTAGTAGGTACTATATATTATTATGATACACATGGCCAAACTGGCAAGTTAAAGTAATACATTAAAACTTAAAAGCAATTATTGAAAGTTTGAAAGGTATCATATCATAATATTATGATGTACATGACAGTCAACTTTATTATAGAAGACAATATTTAAAATTTACATTGAGTTTCCCTTTTTTTGTGCATTTTTAATGAATTTTTTTTTTATGTTATTTTCTTCTTGCGATCTAGAATTTATAATAGAAACGAGAGTTTTGAATTAATTAAGTCATAATTTAAATTTATTAATTATTACAGATTCATTTAAAATGTATACGAAATCAATTGTATTTATCACGTTGGCTTACATCCACATTTCTTATTGTTAGTATGATTATATTTTAAACACAAATAATAATTTATTTGATACCTACACAATAACAAACTGTAAATGTACGCAAATTAGTTTAAAAAATACTAAATTTGCTAAGAATTAATGTTAAAAATGTGTGATAATATTAAATTAATTTGATGATAATAAAAAAAAAAATGGTTGACAATATTATGAATTGTCTTAGATATATAACTGTGTAATCTAAATTAATTAATTTAGATAAATAATTGTTAAGCACCCATATATTTTTGATGAATAATGTAACATGGCAATTGAGAACCACTCTCATATATCAAACTTCAGTTAGGTACTCAAAAACTTTATCAACATGATTAAAAAAACATGAATTTACAATAAAGTTGACCACCAGTAGCCAAATAGTCTGACATATAATGATTTTCAATTTTCAATTTGTTTAAATAATAAATTAATTTTGTGATAAAAATACATCCAATTTGTCTAATTGCACACTAGCTGTATAGTTATTTAGGTATATTATTTCACGTTAGTTTAACATCTAAAATTTAGTTTATAATATCTAAATTACAAATAATTAAACACAATATAATTTAGTCAACTAAATTATTATCCGATACCTAATTTGTTTATTTTTGTATAAAATAATTGCATTTATTTTTTTTGAACTGCGTTGATATAGATGTTTTAAATTTAATGTATTATATTTAAATTAACAGGGAAAAGTTAAATTATTATTTAGGTTTTATTGCTAAAGTTGATCAGAAAATGAACTAACTTGTTAGAAATATTAATAAATAACAAGTTTTAATAAAAGAAGGCTTTAAAATGTTTAATATGGGCTATACAGGTCACTCGACACCAAAACCTAGGCAGAACGTCCCTTGGCAAAAAACTTCCACAACGTATTCCGGAAGTCAACTACGAACAAGTTTTATTGTCCATGGTTGCCCTATATCCGGTAGATTCTCTCAAGAATTTTATAGAACCACGTCTAGAGCCACTGAGAAGTAAAGTTCTTCTCAACCAGCTCCTCCTCCACCGTGGGCCAGCCAGGAGATCGTGAATGGTGGCCAGTGACCATATTTTTTAAATTTGCAACATGTCCCCCTCTCTCAATATAGGTCATCAGTCTGTGGGGCGGATTGTATAGAGTATTTTGTTTTGCACATAGTTAAAATTAGTCTCTAAACTTTTCTGAAATCTCTAAAAATAATCTCAGGCATTACTGTCAAAATCGGTTATTCGCTTATTCTGTTTATAAACTACAAACATAAGGACAAAGACTTTAAAAATTATATTTTACATTTTAATATAGATTATAGAAATATCTTCATTTAATTTCGTTTGTTTAAATTTTGTTTGTCTGATCAATTATTGAATGGCTAATGTGAGGTGTGAGTTGTTGATTAAGTAACATAATATGATCATAATAATACAAGTTTTATCACCTCAAAAAATAGGGGGCTTTAGCACTCCCAGTTTTTGAATACAAGTTTGCCACTAGTAGGTATTACATACGCTATTTAATTATTTTATAACATTTATTATTTATAAATTTCTTAATAATTATTGCAGTAATAATAATTGTATTATTAATTACTATATTTGTTATATTATGGTTGACTATTTATTCAGAATTTGTAATGTCTATATGCTTATCTGTTTTATAAGACTATAAATAATAATAATGATGAATACTTATGTTTTAACTTTATTTATAAATATTACAAAGGTGACTCACATTGTCGAAAAACGTCGAATGACGATGAAATGATTGATTTCATCTTAAACACTTTAATATAATATAGACATTGGAATAATTATAGATTTAACTGTAAAATAAATTAAAGTATAATAAAACGACAAAACATTACCACAGACAACGATAATGTTTTGCTATAAATAAAATCATACTTCATTGGTAAATGCAATGTGTGTGAGCCTTCTTCGCGATACTTAAACGATTTAACTATAAAATATTATTCTATAAGTATAGGCACCACGGAGGATGATGGCCGGATGGACGTAGTCAAACCGACAGTCGACAAAGTAAGGGAAGTAATACAGTCCGTTTCCGGTGTCAGTGGGTCATATAATACTGCAGAGTCAAACTCTGGGTTCTCGAACCCGGTGAAACCTTCAGTGTCGGAAACAGCTGTACCACAACCAGGATCATCGACAACCACAGAACCGGTTACCACTGGTGGTTGCCCAGAGCAACCAACGCAGACTTATCAGCCGGAATCATGTAGTTGTTCATAAAGTGTCGACAACTTTTGTGAAGGTTGATGTTGGCCATGTTGATCATCGTGATTGAATCTCCCATGGTTTTCTCAAAAACTTTAACCAAATACACGATACCAAATTGTATTTAATATTATGTCATAATAATCATACTGTTCTTATAATTTTGTCCAAAACAGAGGACAAACTGTGTTTCACATTATCCAATAACAATTATTTCGATTGTACATTGAGTTTAAATATATTATGGAGTTTATACTACCTATTTGAATAAACTTAATTTTTTTTTCATTTTCCCTGAAGTCTGCCAACTACAGTGGTAGACCACTTTTTGAGGAGATACGGTTATTTATTTTTAAAACTATGACATCAGATATAAAAGTTTAATATTCTAAGAATATGGTTAGTTTTTACGTTGGAAAGTGTATTATATTTTAGTATTTTAATGATATTATGAACACGACGAAATATTCATTAAGATGGAGTAGTCTTTTATTAATCGATTGCACTTCGGATTAGTTGGGGCCGCCCCCACACGAACCACCTGTTAAGCGGGGCACATTATATTTTTGAAGAAATAAACAATATAAAAAAAGCTGGTAAGTGGATGTCGCTCTGCTGTACAGTAGATTACAAGTGGGTCATTGTATAATGGATTGTATTAAAAATTTTAAAATTGAATTCAATGATATAATATCAATGTATAAGAAAAACGATTCTGAGAGGAGATGGTTTGTCAGTCTGGATATTTTATATTGTTATTATTTATTATATCATGTAGGTAAGTTGAATTAATATTATAATATCATTATTTTTTATTCGTTTCTATGGTGATACACAAAGCGTTAGAAATTAAAATCCAATTTTAGCGGTTTTTCGTAATTTGTCCGTGGTTTTTCTTAAATAAAACACTCTATTGCGAAAATTGGTTAGCTCAAAGCGGGGAGCTCATCCCGAAACAGTTAGAATCTCGGCACTAGCTCTATGTTTCTCGGTGGCTGAATATGCATTCCCGGTGTGGGGAAGATCAACACACACTAAACAAATTGATACTGCTTTAAATGAAACGGTTCGCATTATAACAGGATGCTTAAAGCCAACACCAGTAGACAAATTATACCTTCTAGCAGGAATAGCTCCGCCACATATACGCAGACAAATTGCAAGTGACATAGAACGGACGGAACAGATCACGGATGAAAGGCACCCGATGTATAACACACAAGTGGAAGGATTCCAACTAAAATTAAGAAAGAGCTTTCTAAAATGCACTAAGAAATTAGAAGATGACCCACAGACATCAAGATTAAAGTTATGGGAGGTAGAGAGCAAGCAAAAAGTTGAAGAGAAGTTACCCCCGGGACATAACAATAAATGGATGGTCTGGAGAACACTAAATCACCTACGTACAGGAGTCGGTCGTTCGAGGGAGAACCTAAAAAAATGGAGAATTAGCAATGGGAATGAAGACACGAGCTGTATATGCGGAGAAGTCCAGACAATGTCGCACCTCCTAAACTGCAATGAATGTCCAGTCATATGTAACGTAACAGACTTATAAGACGCAAATAGTAAGGCTATAAAGTTGGCAGAATTTTGGAGCGATAAAATTTAAAAATTTGAAAACACAACTCGTACGTTACCTTTTAGAACCACCCATTGTTACCAAATATAATTACCATTATTTACTAAGTACATTATTCCATATGTTATTTTATTTTATTTTATGTATACCGGTTGACTTTTTGACTAATTGACTAATTGATATTATGTTTTGTTATTTATAGTTTATATGTAAGGATGTTTACCTATATATTTAATTACCTGTAAAATGACCTGTCATAACCCCGACTCGTAAAAAAAAAAAAAATCTCCATTCTAACTAGAATAATCTATATTATAGAGATATTTAATAATTTAAATTCTACAAAAAAGTTATTATTTATCTATATATTTTAGATTCCAAGCAGAGTGATAAAGGAATTTGTTTTACAATTATGTATATTTTTGTGTGTGTGTCTTTCCGGTGTTATACCTTTTGGATCTGTAAAAAGCATTTGTATTTCTATCTGATCTTTGATAATGATGGTGCTTTTTAGTTTTTGGTAAAAAACCTATTTTGTACTTTGGAAAATGTTAAAAATAAAAAGTTCGTATTACTTTACTATAAACTCAATATAACAGAAGAAAAATATAATGTATTATATTAATATTCCCAGAAAAACCGGGATATTTATTCGAAACAAGTTTTTCACAAAATCGATTTAATATAACAAAAAAATGATTAGCTGTTAATCAAAATATGTTGTTCTTACTGGAATTCGATGAAAATATTGAAAACCGATTACAACTTTTTTACAAGCTTTTAAAGTTAAGATTTGTGTACTTAATTCATCAAAATGAATATGGAAAATGAAATAAAAATTTTACAAATAATTTATAATTTATTAATAACAACTATGATTCTTTGGATACGTTTGAAATTAAAATGTTGATGAAATTAAATATTAAAAAGTCAACCATCGATTTTGACGAATTACATTTTTAACTCAGAATCTACCACTGCTTGTAACAATAGTTTTTGGTTTCCACGTATTTTTTAGCTGTTAAATAGATATTTTTATGGCTAGTATATTGGTATATATTTTAATTTTTATAAGTTATTTTGGTTAAAAGTGAAAACAGATTATAGAAAATACACTGAGTAAGTCATGAATTTTGATGTTAGTAATTACTTTAAAATATTTAAACTTTAAAGTAATAGATAAAACTAGTTATAAAAAACTACCCACTTTCTTGTGCTAAAAAGGACAAGGCCTGTTTTGATTTTTAACACACAACACGTTGTAACGGCGTTAAGTATAGGCAATATAGGTACAACGTTTAAGTATTACATTTTAATATTATTTATATAATATTAGTGTAGGTACCTATAGGCTAAAGATACTACAATATTTAAACGATTATCTGGATTTAAGTTGTATTCCTAGTTCCTTTGTAGACTCTTCTCAACAATGTTCAAAATCCGTCTCTAATTTATTATGTTATTTCTTTCAGTGTTCTATATAATATGTTTAAACTGTATTGATAGATGGTAGACAAATCACTTTTTGTGGTACTATGTTTAGAAATATGATTACAATTTTGAATCTGGAATGTAAATGTTTAATCTAAAGACTTTAATAATTTACATTAATTGAAGTACTTATTATACTCGTACAGTTTTTATAAATTAAGAAATTTGATTTTAATATTTGTATAAAATTATAAAAACTAGATCAAATCAATTTAGATTATAATCATATTAGTCAGTAGTCACTAAATGGCTACTTGTTTTTATCAAAAAGTTCATATTTCATTAAAAGTGTACATTTTGATGGCCTTATAACGCGAAAACTATAACTTTACCTGAAAATGTCATAAAACCTTTTTTTTTTGATAATTAATTTCTCTACAATTTATAACTTTTTACTGTACGACTCATAAAAAGCGAGATATTCAAAAAATAAGGCGTGACCTTTAACCTCGAATAACTTTTGACGAGTACATGAGACAGATGTCGACTTTTCACACGTTGTTTAAAACGATGTCATAAAGGTGTGTACCAAAATTCAGCTAAGTGGGAATTTTTCCGAGCTGAAAACCTAATATGACTGGACTACTAAAATATTGGAGGAAAATAGACATAATTACATTCTAAATTAATGTGGAGGAAATTTAAACCACCTTTTTTTGTGGAGGAAAAAGGTATCTCGTTTTTGGAGGAAAATAAATTATTATCGTTCCCGTGTTGGTACACTGTTTGGGAAAAACTTTGAAGTATGCACGCTTGGCGCGTCGGTAGCCTGGCCGCTAATTAGTGGGGTCGCTGCCTATGGCAGACAGCGACGGGCCGACAAAATCGGATTTCGCCACAAAACCAGAGCATGACCGTTGGTTGTGAGTGGGTACGGGTCGCGGGAAGTACTATCTCGATACGCACACCAACTCACACCAACGGGCGCCTGGTATTGGGAAAACAGATTAACACTGGGAGCGCTGTCGACGCCTATCGTACTGATGGTTGGGCAGGTTCCCCCCTATGTGGAGTCGGGAGATTGTATGTATTTTCGCGGCATTTCGAATACATTTTGCTTTAAGTGAAGTGAATTTGAACGTATTTGATAATATTTGTAGAAATTATATTTACCAACATATACAGTTAGCTATATAAGCGTATAAAGTTTCGATAACAAAATTAATTTATTATAAAAAGTAAAATAACCAATATAAAACTATATCTATACATCCCGAATTGGAAGGTACAAATTGTTTCCACCAGAGCGCGTTTTGTTAATCTGCTTCCCCAATTATTTCGTTATGTTGGCAACCTCCTCGACCCGCTGCCCTTCCACCGATCCCACACCGCGCCAACGAGCTGGCAGTTCATATTATTCCTTCGACACTCTTCAACACATTGCCGCCCGTAGCTCGTTGTCCGCCGAGTGCTCATCGTTCTACGGTTTCACGTTGTCCTCGAATTCTCCACCGACAGCACTGCGTGACCCGTTCGGTGTAGTTCATTGAATAATTATTAGAATATTATTATAATTTAATATTTATACAGTTGTCACCGCAGTTGGTTTTTCACCAGTTTTTATCTGCTTTTTTTTCAATTGCCATTACCAATGATTTATATTATTTTTGTAAAAAATGACTTATTATATCGCCCCCTAACTTCCCGCGACTCGATGAACACTTCAAAAATGGCTTCTGTAAACAGCGTTCCAGCAAACGAAGGTAACGATATTAAATTGATGATTATAACACTGTAAAGTAACGTAATTTGGTTTTAATTTTTTTATTGTGTTGGACAAGATTGTAGGCGATACCGTAGTGGTGGGAATTATCCGTATTCGGTACAGACTCGATGTCGGTGTACCCTGATGGGGACCATTTTGTAGTTGGTAACTTTGTACTGAATTTTCGAACGTGGAACAATAAATGTACTCATTTCTACTCGTTCCACCAATGTAATCGTTACATTGTACCGAGTACAGTAGTAACGACCCACCACTACTATACCGTCCTCGGTTTAGTTATCTTGATTAATATTGATTATTATAATTTATTATTTATTCGATATTATTGTTATTATTATCGTTATTATCATGTGTTGAGGCCTAATACTATAAATATAAATTTATATTGCTATTAATAATTGTTGTATTTTAAATTAGTAAGCAAAAATAATATTGTTTGACATTTATTTATTTAACATAATTGACGAGGCAAATCAAAACAAGCGAGACGCGAGAGAGACTACTTACACACACAGTCAAATACAAATGAATATGATATATTACAGTGTTACCTTAACACAACATCTTCCTTTTTTTTTTTTTTTTTAAATGTAATATAATAAGAATTTAATAATAATTTAGGATAATAATACAAAATATATAATGATAATGATGATAATACAAGAAAAAATAACATATTACATAAAATATATAGTAAAACAAATAATTAGTATAATATGTAATTACTTAATAATAATTATTGCTTATAAATCTAACCATTTAGGTTTAATTATTGTTCTACCAGAACGAGTAGATTTTTTATCTATGTTTAAATTTAAGTTAGGTTGTTCATAATTATTTTTTCTAGAAGTGGTTGAAGCACAAGTTATTAAATGTTTTCTGTTTCTTCTATAATTGCCCCCTTTTTCACCTTCAATTACATAAGATCTAGGATATTTATCAATTTGAATCTCTTTACAATTAATCCAAGGACCATTGGGTACTAATTTAAATAAAACTTTTTCACCAACTGCAAGAGGTGTTAAATATTTTGTTTTTTTATTATAATAATTAGTTATTTTATCTGTTTTTTTTATTTTATTTTATTTTGGTAATCACTTAATTCAGTTAATTTAGGTTTTAAGTTATCTATGGGAACAGGTAATTTTGTTCGAATTGATTTTGACATTAATAGTTGAGATGGAGAACATAAATTTCCTTTAGGAGAATTTCGATTATGCATTAGAGCTATATATAAATCAGTTTTACTTTCTTTACATTTTTTTAGTAATTTCTTTATTGACTGTATTGATCTTTCTGCTAAACCATTAGATTGAGCATAATGTGGACTTGAAGTGATATGTTCTATATCCCATTCAGACCATAAACTGTTAAATTCTAATGAACTAAATGGTGGACCATTATCAGACACTATTCAAAATGGTATTCCAAATCTAGCAAACATTGATTTTAGATGTCGTATAACAGAAGTACTTGTAAATCCTGATGTTAAATGTGCAATTTCTTTAAATTTAGAATAATAGTCTACCACCAATAAATATATTTTATTATCAAAGTGAAATAAATCAGTTCCTAACTTAAACCAAGGTATTTGAGGTATATCATGTGGTATTAAAGGTTCTTTAGAATTATTATTTCTATATTTCATGCATACCTCACAATTTTCAACAATATTTTTCATATCAGAATTTACGTTAGGCCAAAATATTAAATCTCTTATTGAATTTTTACATCTTTCAATCCCCATCTGACCTTCATGAAATATTTTTAACATTTCTGGTCTTAAATTTTTAGGTATAAGCAAACTTTTATTTTTAAATAATAAGTTGTCTATTACACATAAATCTTCTTTAAAATACCAATAGGGTTTAATAATTTTCTCAATTAAATTCTTATTTTCTTTCCACCCACTTTGTATAACTTCACTAAGCTTTTTACATACCAAATCGTTTTGTGTTTCTTTTTTAATCAAATCTAATTTATTTTTTTAAATTGCTATATTTAAAATTAAATTTTGAACATTTAAGATTATATCATCTTTAATTTCATCAACTTCAGTTATTTGAAGTGCTGCTCTAGAAAAAGTATCAGCAATTATTAGTAATTTACCAGGAACAAAAAAGATAACTTTTAGATTGTAGTTTAAGCATCATGCGTTGGAGACGGACAGGTACAGAATGAAGAGGTTTTGTAAATAATATAATTAGTTGCTTATGGTCAGTTTGCACAGTAATTGTTTGACCATACAAATATTGATGAAGTCTAGGAATATATTATATTAAATATATTATATATAATAATATAGGAAGTCTAATAAATTTATACCTACCAAAAGGTGTGTTAAATGTACATAAGTTGGCACTTTCCTCATCAAGAGGTACCATCCAAAAACCAGAAGTAGCACCTAAAGTGGAAAAATAACATGAACCATTTAATCTAGATTTAATATTTTCAAAACTAGGAAGTGGATAGTGTGAACGTTTTATAGCCTTATTTAGATTTCTCGGATCCAAACATATTCGAAGCTTATTATTCTTTTTTATTACAATAACTATAGAATTTATCCAGGACGTTGGTGCATTTACTTTTTCTATTACTTTCATATTGCCATATTTTTCAGTTCAGATTCTAGTTTATCATAAATTTTAAATGGTACTCTCCTAGGAGGGTCAATTTTAGGTTTAATCATGTTGTTCTTTATTTTTAGCATATATGATAAGATCATCAACATATAAAAATACACCATCAATATCAGAAAAATGTTCAGTCATTACTCTATGAAAAACTTCTGATGCACAATTTAAACCATAAGGAAGTCTAATAAATTTATACCTACCAAAAGGTGTGTTAAATGTACATAAGTTGGCACTTTCCTCATCAAGAGGTACCATCCAAAAACCAGAACTAGCATCTAAAGTGGAAAAATAACATGAACCATTTAATCTAGATTTAACATTTTCAAAACTAGAAAGTGGATAGTGTGAACGTTTTATAGCCTTATTTAGATTTCTCGGATCCAAACATATTCGAAGCTTATTATTCTTTTTTATTACAATAACTATAGAATTTATTCAGGACGTTGGTGCATTTAATTTTTCTATTACTTTCATATTGACCATATTTTTCAGTTCAGATTCTAGTTTATCATAAATTTTAAATGGTACTCTCCTAGGAGGGTCAATTTTAGGTTGAATATTAGTATCTAAATTAATATGATAAGTGATTGGTAGACATCCTAGACCTTCAAATAAATCTTCATATTCATTTAAAATAGAAATCTCTTTATCATTATTTATGAGATTAATTGTAGATATTAAATTAAGATTATTACAAGTTTCCAACCCTAGTATAGTATTATATGAAAAATCAACTGTGTAAAATTCAATTAAGCAATATTTTTGTTTATAAAAACATTTAATAGTGCTTTTACCTAAAGTGGATATCTTATTAGAGTTAAAAGCCATTAATTTTACATTAGATTGTGTTTTAATACTACTGACAGAAATATTCATTTTTTTTTAAATTTCAATTGACATTATATTAGCTTGGGCACCTGTATCTAACTGAAAATTCACATATCTATTATTAATTTGTAATACAATTTGCCAAACATAATTTTTATTATTATCAATTATAGAACCAATAAAAAGTAAATTATCATTACTAGAATTATTTTTATCAAGTGTCACTTGATTAACCATCTTTGTCTTACAATACTTGGCAAAATGATTAAACAAATTACATTTATGACATTTAATACCTTTGGCGGGACATGAAAATTTATGACTTTGACCACAACGACTACATGTGGGACTAAAATTGTTGTTATTACCGTAAGACTTCTTTGAACTTTCTTTTTTGATTCTTGACGATTGACTGGATAGCGATGACACACAAGTTTGATTGTTTTTATCCGATGATGTTGACTGACGATTCTTATGACCATACGACCGTTGATGGTGACCTCGACTTTTGAACTTTTCTTTTGACTGGACTGCTAGTACTTCTTTGACTGCTTCATTGCTCCCATCCATGACATCCAGTTGCTTAACCCTTTGTTGTGACAACGTCATAGACGAAGCAATTTTCAATGCTTTTTCCAATGTAAGATCATTTTCTTTTAGTAGACATTGTTTAATTTTAATATTATTTGTATTTAGACCACAGATTAACATATCTTTTATTAGACTTTCTCGTAAAGACTCAAATTCACATGACATACTTTTATTTGTTAAATCTGCTATATATTCATTAATACTTTCATCAGGTAATTGGTAACGTGTAAAAAATTTATGGCGTTCCAAAGTAACATTTTTACGTGGAATAAAACGTGGAATAAATTTGAATATTAGATTGTCCAATGTGAACGCTTTAATGTTAATATTAAATGAATTATAGATTTTAAAAGCAGCTTTACCAATAAAATGTAAAAAATTGATATTTTACGTATTTCTGGCTGACTATCATAGCCACTCGCAATCAAATAAATGTTGAACTCTTGCAACCAATCGGACCAATTTTGACATAAATTTCCATCTATGGATAGTTGACTTACATTACCAATAAGACCTGATGACATTGTAAATGTGTTTGTAGAAATTTGAGTATCTGTGCGCTTGGTTTGTTGCGGCTCGTTTATTGACTCATCATGTTGTGATCCAGATTTATCTGCTTGATCCTTTTTTTTTCGACCCATAATGAATCAACACCTGACACCATGTTGTATTTGAAATTAGTAAACAAAAATAATATTGTTTGACATTTATTTATTTAACATAATTGACGAGGCAACTCAAAACAAGCGAGACGCGAGAGAGATGACTACTTACACACACAGTCACATACAAATGAATATGATATATTACAGTATTACCATAACAAAACAATAATAGGATGGTTTCATTTGTTTTTTTGGTTAACCTCAAACGACTATTAAATAATGTATCGAATTCAGGATAAACAGAATAAATAAACAGAATTAAAATGTAATTGACACACTAGAGTAAAATAAATTTAAATGGTAAGTGAATAATAAATTCGTTGATGAAACCTATTTAAATATATAATAACAACAATACGTATAATTAATAATAAGTAAATAAATGATTAAACAAACAATCAAAATAAATAAGCAAACAAGAAACAAAATATAAATAAATAATAACAACTGTTATTAGTTATCTACAATTAACTCAGTTGCTCCAATAATTTATTCAAATCTATTTATTTAATAATTTATTCAAAGTATATCTCTAGTATATTTCTTAATTTTTTTATCCACTTATTCCTAACCCCTTATATAGAAATACTCAACCAATTATGTGTAGTTCAAAGCTCATGCTCTAAACTATTTTGTATTTTATAATTTTGTCTCCATTAAAGAAATAACTTTTTTGTATTATTATTTAACACAAATAATTTTTATAAACTAACGGATTAATTATTGTTATTCCTCAGTTGGCAATTCAAACAATTAACGTTTTTGTTGACTATAAGTAATGTTGATATATTAATAAATAATAATTATAAAATAAATTATATTGCTTTTCTTCTCTTTGAAATTGTTTTAAAATTAAGAGTCCAGCTGTTACTATGTTGGATAATTTTATAATTTAATATATATTTTGATGCTTTATTAAAGTTAATTTATAATTTAATAAAAGTATTGACTACAAGTTTTGCATGTGTAATATAAAAATTAATTGTTTGAATTCAATGGTGGGTATAAATATAACATTGTGGGCTATGTAATATATATTAGTAAATTAACAATTTTTTATATTGAATATTTATTGAATTTTCAGGGTTCAACGATATAGCTATTTTGCAACAGCTGGTTAGGTGGGCGATGCAGGTGCGGCGATTAAAATATGTCTAATATTGAGGAATATTGGCCAGCTAAGGTAGTTGATACACAACTAATAACTAGTCAGAAGTCTAACTAACGGCAATGGAAGGAATTGATGAGGCAGCTTGAAGTTACTCAAAGTAGTGGCTCATCAACTGCGATGTGGAAGGAGGAGTCCACCACATTAAAATACCTAGTAAAGCAGTATAGATCAAGTATTGGAGGATTTAGAAAAAGGAGAAGGTGCAGAGGGTCAAGAAGTAGGTGCATTCGGTCTAGGAACTAGAAATGAAAGAGGAGACCGCCTTGTAGACTTCTGCAATCAACATATTATGACCATAACTAATACATAAAATACATAAAATTTGCAAGAGAGAAATGTGGTTTTATTCGTTTTAACTCTGTGTTGTGCCATATTGTATTATAGATGACCAAAAATATGTCCCGCTCTATTACTTTGAAGGTGAAACAGAAAACCTAAGACAGCGGGCTGTAAAATTAGAAAATTGAAACTTGGAATATCTCAAGTTCTATTTTAAAGTGCAGGGTATCAGAAATGAGTTGTTTGCCAGTGCCCCTTGCACAGCGACCAGTCTTATTTATGCTTATAGTAATACCGTATCGTAGTCCAACGTTGTACCTATCAGCCAATGTATAACAACTATGTACAATCCAATGACAAATGGCAATGTAATGTCACATTCAAGTCAAATGAGACAATTCTACACTCAACGTTCTAACAATAGTCAAACCCAAAACAAACAGTTGCAGCAACAACATCAGATACCACAGCAACAACAAATAATTACCACTCCTCTAACTCAGCAGTCATATAGTGGCCATCTGTTGTTTAATCAACACACAACAGCGCAACGCATTAAGGAATTCTGGGCCTGTTGCAATTGCTCCGCCCTTAGAAATTATTG